CATCTATTAGAGGGACGAGAGAAGTGGTGCGCGCAGCCCCGGTAATGGCCCCAATATGGTCCTGCTGCTTTTCTTGCTCTCGTCGATCCCCCGTCATTACGAGCTCCGTCGGATAAATAAGATAAAACAATACAAACCAAATGGACGCCATCACTTATACGAGAGAGAGAGGCGCATCACTGTGTGTAATATTTCCTATATCGCACATAAATCGACCGAAATTCATCATCAGCAGCCAGATACCCGAGCAAGAAAGGGCATCTGGGCGCCATATAGAGGGGTGAATTGAAGGAAAATCCTATAAACATACAAGGTTTTCAGATTTAAAGGAAATGATTTCATATTTTTAGACGGTACCTTTTTTTAGAATCTTGAATTTTTATAACGATCATTAAGATCTGCTGCTGAATAAGTTTAAAGTTTATAAATAACTAATAATAGAAATCAAGCCATGATAGATCAAGTACGCAGAGGTTGTCAACCCCATTTCTAGTTTTTTAAATCATGAGGACTTTACTGCATTATGTGATAAATTTAGCATAATATTAGTTCCCATGTTACAAAATAATTTAATTTTATAATATATTATAATTCTCAAAAAACAAATTAATGCTACCGAGATTATGTAGATCACTAAACCTGCTAGGACTAGTAAATTGTGCGAGTATTAAGTTTTAGTTATTTCTGAATTTATTTCTATTATTACATGTTTGTCAAATTTAACATCGTTATTCGTTATAAATCAGCTATAAATAAATGAATTTGATAAAATAATTTAATATAAATAATTTTTATTACTTAAACTCATTAAAATAATATACTAAAAATTTGTGTTAATCAATATTAAGGGAAAAAATATAAAAATTTGTTACTTTTTAGTAATTTTTGTTCAATAATCAGCCAACACCCTGTCTGCATACTCGAGGTACTCGCCTTTAAAAATAACAATAATCAGCAAGTCTACTGCAGCAACACACCTCTCGCGTCGGATAATATTGGATAATTTGAGCTGCAAACTCACTCTCTCACAGTCTGATCTACGTCTCGTGGAAAAAGGCGACGCGCCGTGAATTTTTGATGGGTAATTAGCAAGGATTATTGGCGCTAATTCAAATTGTCCGTACCCGCAAAAAGGGCGTGTGTAAATAACAATAATAATATCGTGCGGATATACATAATGACGGCGAGCGAGACGCGATGGCGGTGTAATTTATTATTCAGTTAGGCGTAATTTATCGCTTGTCTCGACGCCGGAGCCGCCGCAGCTCTCACTCTCTCGCGAAAATCAAACTGCGCTATTTTCGAAGTATTTGCATCACAAAAGAAGTTACGGCGCAGCAGAGGTGCTGAAAGGGTTGCATATTATTCGTTTCCCGGCTCCGTAGATAAAAGTATCGGATTATCTGCCTTGAGGCATCACATGATTCAAATTCCAACTTTGATCTCCTTCTTCCTATACTTCTATATCGCACGGAATGCCACCGCCGCTATATGTACTCTGTGCTGTGTGAGCGCGGTGATATAGCAGAAGCAACTCTTTGTGTACGTACGTATATTAAAGCAGCGAAATATACACACAGCACGCCTTTATGTAATTTTATATAAAGTACTACATGATAGAGAGAAAGAGCGGCCGCCGGCGTCTATAACATAGACTCTCGCACACACGGTAGTGCAGCCCTGTTTTTGTTTAGCATGCTAAGCTCACGGCTTGCAATTAAAAGAAGAGACTGACTTGGGAGAGCTAAAGAGACGCATTCCTTCTGGAAGCTAATACAGTAAACAAAGGTGACATTATAGCTCCAGGTCCTATCCTAACTCTCACTTTGACCTTTTTTAAAAACAAATGTAGCTAATTTCCAATTAGTAAATTAAATCAGAGCCTTAAAATATTCAATGGCTGTTTTACATCATATTTAAAAAAAATTTAAAGAGCAAATAAAGTGTGTTGATTCATGCAGTTTATCTGAAAATTATCTGAAATTAATTGAAAAAAAAAGATAAATATATCAGTTTCAAATTTTTTTAAATTCATACTATCTTTTTAATTGATTGAATTTCAGTGATATAAATGTTGTTTTTTTTTTAAATTTTATTATTAATTTAATGTTTATTTTCACTACAATGATTCATTTTTCTTAAAGCTAAGTATTTTCTCTAATTAGGAATGGCATATAAATATTTTGTTAGCAGAATTGGTTAAAATCAATACGTAACTTTACTTTATCATCTGTATCAATTTCATTGTAGTCATTTAATATAATTTATTGAGGTTATGGAGGAATTTTTACAAATTGTATACATACATATCTTGATACTTTTAATTATAATTAAAGAACATATAAAATTAAGAAATCATTATGAAATATAAAATTTATAAAAAATAAATAAAAATTAATACTTAATTTTTTATAAAAGTAATTTGTAAGGCCAGAAATAAAATATTTATTATAAAATTTATAAGTTTGGAATTAACTTAAAAGAAAATTAGGGGCTTTCTCTGGGCAGCAAAAATCACATGTGGGGCCAGCGCGGAAAAAGAGGAGAAATGCTGGCAAGAGTTAATCTTCCAATATCTGCGGTGCGCCTCGGTTGCCTTAACGCGCTCCATCAAAACCAAAGTAAAGCATTTTGCATGTAGAGCGGGTGGGCATCTCTGAAGCTGCGCTATGGCTGGAGCGATTCTTTTTCCCTGGGTGCGCCTCCGAGGGATTTGTCACTGCAGACCACGACCACTGCTCTGCTCTCTCTCGTATGTAGAAAAGGGTGGCTCGCAATCAATAAGTGTATAGAGTCGGCGGCATCTGACTGCCAAAGGCGGCGAGCGGCGGCCGGCTTAATACCCTTTTCTGATGTCCACTTGCAATTGGCTTTATCTCGGGAGATAGCCGGGCGACCGCCAGCGCCGCCGCCGCCACCACCGCACCCTCGCAAGAGCTTATTTTTAAAATCAATATTCCATCCCCTGAAACAAAGAAAATAAGCATCCCAAATGGAGTTGCTACGCATTTATTAGCCGCTGGCCGCGCGCGTATAGGCCACGTGCGTGCTCTCGTTCCCATCTCCCTAATCAGTACAGCCGAGGGTGCGTGGAAAAGGAGCAATGGCAGGCAAGGGTTGCCGCCGCTGATATTGGCTTCTCGCCCTTTTTATATTTGCTTCGACCACATTTTCTTTAAAATAAAATCCCCTCCGCTCTTGTTTAGAAAATTTACTGCACAGAACCAAACAAAGCTGGCCAAAGTTCTTATTCTCTTTTCCAAAAATAAAGTTAAACTTTGTTGCAAGAAAATTAAATATTCATTCCTTATTGAAAAATTGTGTAATAAAGTCATCAATGCAACGATTTGAAACAAAAAATACATGTATAACTCCATAATTCAATTACTCTTTAGAATTGATGCAAATTAGATATTTAATACAAAAAATATTTGTAAACCTTCTTAAATCTCAGAATTATCAATTTGATTTGAAAGCAGTTTTAATTAAATCAAATTAATTTTTTGCTTTTAAAGCAGAAAAGAGGAAGAATTAAAATCGATTTTCTTCCCAGGCTCCGTTGAAGTTTAAACAGTCGCAGGTCCAAAGTAAATCCCTTTTCAGCCCGCCTGCAAGTAACTGACATTTGTCAACAAAAATTCGGCGAAAAAGCGCGTACCATCTCCAAGCATATTACTTGTATGTGTGTCCCTGCCCGTGTATTTGTCCGCACTAATTTTATGGTCCAGAACAAATGAAACAATAAATCCAGCCGCCGGGTGCAACCCTTTGCTTATTCTCCTCACCCGCCCGCCGGCATTCTTTATCTCGTCGCGATGCGTGCGCGTACATGTGCGTCTGCTGTTTGCATAGCGCCAAAGTTATAGCCCGTAAAGGAATTCAAACCGCGGAGGGCCCATCAGCGAGTGTGTGTGAGCGCGAATTATCGTCTCGCCAGCTCCACTTTTCCGCGCCGAATCCATAAATAAACATTGGGAAGACGAACGCTGCACGCCCGAATAATGCCGGGCACGCGTTTTCATTTGGACCTCGAGGCCGTAAACTGAAACATTTCGTCGGCCGTGGCAATTTGGCGCAATGAAAGAGAGGCTGTCGTTATCCCCGGCGGAGACGATATGAATATATATGCAGACGCATGTATAAGACAAAGGAGACAATCTTGCATGTCGAAGAATTTGCATATCACACTCGGTGTCACATGTGTGTGCGGGGCCGCATTGCTCGGATACTTTTATGCAGATGAAAAGAATTTTTAATACGCCTCACTCACGCCGAGGGACTCAATTTCTCGTGTGTCTCGCGAGAAGGCGTAAAGTCTCTGCACGCGGGTCGATCGACGCGTTATTTACCATAATAATAAGAATTTAGCCTGGGTGTGTGTACAGACGAACCGAGGAATGGGATGATATCGGCGCGTCGTGTTGCCGAGAGCAAGGGTTGCGAAATTTATGACCGGAAGGAAAGGATAAATTAGCGGTGGTATTGTAGAACACACACTCTCGGTACTTATAGCGGCAGCAACTCTAGTACGCGATGTAAGGAAGCTGAAATTGCCGGTTTTGTGTACAGTGCACACTTTCCCAGCACGATTGTAAATATTGAAACGGAATAAAATTGTTCATAGTTTTTAACAACCATGCTATGTAATTTTGGTTTTTATTGAATTAATTCACAAATTTATTTACAAAATCTAAATAGATATTGCTTTCAAAGTATAAAATCATATCAAATTTTCACTGTTAGATCCAAAATATTTTATTATGCTCCACAGAGCTATGCTTTTTTATTTATTTAATTAAAATAATTCATTTTATTCATATTTTCAGTCACAAAATAATCAAAACTTTTTTTAAGAAAGATAATTATAAGTCTTCAATTGTGATTTTTATATTGAACTTATCTTCAACAATACTCAAAAAGCAAGAATAAATAATTTGTGCTTTGTTAAAATTGGTGATTGTTGGAGATTTCAAAACTCCACAAAGTCTTGTGGGTTGAGAATGTGGAAAGGATGGCCGAAAAGTTCTGCCCAGCCAGCCCAGAGATTGCCAAATTCAAAGGTTCAGGACACCACCACCTCGAAACCGCCAAGAAAACGCTCCTTCCGAAAGCCATCCATCTGCATCATGGCCAACCAGGCCATCGTCAAAAAAGCAGCCGACCGACTGGAGCTGGTTGAGGTCGGCGAGAATTCTGCTTGGAACGTCTTGTGGACAGATCAACCCATCACTGTCCAGCAGTGCCTGTCCATGGAGCGCTTCCAGATGGTCAACTACATTCCTGGCATCAGCGAAATCACCCGGAAAGACTTGCTGGCCAGGAATCTCACCAGAATGCAGAAGATGTTTCCAGAGGACTACGACTTTTTCCCTAAAACCTGGTGGCTTCCCGCTGATCTTAAAGTATTTAAAAAAAAATTATTATTATCTTGTTATTTTGAAATTTTGTTACAGGAGCTGACGCTGTTTTCTCGCCAAAATCGTGGCTCCGTCTACATCGTGAAGCCGGGCAGCAGTTCTCAGGGTCGAGGAATTTTCATCACCAAGTGTCTGGGCGAGCTGGAGAGTTTGCAGCAGTTTGTCTGCCAGGCCTACATCGCCAGACCTTTACTCATCGACGGCTTCAAGTTTGACATGCGCATCTACGGCCTGATCACGACCTGTGACCCTCTGCGTCTGTATCTCTACAACGAAGGCATCGCCCGATTTGCAACGCAGAAGTACGAGGTGCCGGGCAACAACAATCTGCACAACGTCTTCATGCACCTGACCAACTATTCGATCAACAAGCACAGTTGCGAGTTTGTGAGCGGCGAGGATGGCAGCAAACGCAGAATTTCGACCATCAACGCGTGGATGCAGACTCAAGGTTTTGACGTCGGCCTGATTTGGAACACGATCGACGACGCCATCATCAAAACCGTGATTCCTGCATCCGAGAATCTGAAGAGGCAGTACAAAATGTCCTTCCCAAGGTGAGTAAAAAAGTAATTATATTTTTATTTAAAAAAAAAAATGTATATATAAAAATAAAAATCAATAAAATGCATTTTATAAATATATTGAATAAATGTATTTTCAGACACCCTCAAGGTTGCTTTGTTTTGTTGGGCTTTGACGTGCTGCTGGACGCTGACCTGAAACCACACATCCTCGAAGTCAATCGGTGCCCCAGTCTAAACATTGATTCTCCTATGGACGAAGAGGTCAAGGAGCAGCTGCTGGTGGACATCTTCACTCTGCTAAATCTGGGTCGTCTTGACCAGCACAGAGTGAAAGACCAGGAGAGGAAGAGACTGTTCGAGTCGAACCAGTTGACCATCAAGAAAATTGCCCAGAAAGTTGCAAATGCTCCTCAGAAAGAGAATGATGAGGATGATTCAAAAATCCAGGCCGACGCTTTAGAGGCTTGTTTGAGGGCCCAGGTTGAGTGGGAGGAGCAGAACTTGGGCAACTTCCGCATCGCCTATCCCAATGTTAATAGCGAGGAAAAATACTCCAAATTCTTCTCAGCAGCAGACGTAAACAGTTCCCTCTTTCAAGAAACAGTTGCCTCAAAGGCCAGAAAGGCGATGGTCTTGAAAAGTCTGCAGGTGGTTGAGGAGGAAATTGCACCAGCCTTTGAAGACTTCAGCCTCAAGGAGGAAGAAATCAAGCTGAATGGGAGCACCGTGTCTCGTGGACGAATCACCGCTCTCAACTCATTCGAGCCTTCCTTCATCAACTTGGCTGAGGAGCGCGAGCGAGTCAGAGAAATGGACAAAAGGGATTTTCTGGTCCAATCTTTCAACCTGAGGGCCTACATCGTCGAGGCAATGAGACAGAATGGACTGCTCAGGCAGCTTGAAATCGAAGAGCCAAGGAAGCTGGAAAAGTCCAAATTCGCTGTTTTGCCAAAAATTCAACCTGATTTCATGCCATTCGAAGCAGGATTTCACCACTTTTGAGAGAAAATGTGCCCTGTATAAACGAAAACTTTTGTTACAAGTTAATTACATTTAAAGCTGACTTAAAAATGCATATTATTAATTTGAGAAACATAAAGTTTAATTAATAAAAGTCATATTTTAATATAAAAAATTAATAACTGAATTACATCCAATTACAAATTGAAAAAAATATGCTAAATAAATATTTCCTCCTTTTAACAGGCCGGTTTTTTGCTTCAACTGAGGCGATCGTCATATGTATTTAAAATACCATGGCTATGTGTCTCGGGATTACTTGTAAAGAATCGATCGTGGAACATTATGAGAAGGAAAGATAAACGCTGAGCTCTTTTAAATAAAAACTCCAACACGAGACATCAGTCTCGGCGCGACCGTCTCTAGCTAAATGCATGCGCACATGTATAGACGGCAGAAGGACAAATGTTGTATGGGCCAAGAATTTATCCCGACGTAAATTAATGTGCGTGATTAAAGCGATCAGGCTTTACTCTCGCTGCTCGCTGCTTTTTTACTTTTATAGATCCGTGGCCATCTTTCATTCCGGCGCTCACTTCACAGATAAATGTACAAGCCGATATATCAGCCGGCGCGGCACTAAATTACAAAATTGTTGTCTTTGGAAAGGCCATTGGATTTATTTTCCGAATAAATCGAGCGTGCAGCCCGCGCTGATCGTGACCAAATTTAATTATTCGCGTTCGCATAAATATCCAGCGAAATCGGTGCCCACTAATTGAATGCAATCGTGTCCCGCCGATACCAGTGTAGGTTATTGTTTTCTATTGAGCAATGCCGCCCTGTAATAAGTAATATAACAATAATCGGCGGCCCACAAAAGGTAGTAAAACCGCTCGAGCGGCGAATTGTTATATTGCGCTTCACACCGTGAGCGCCGGAATTTGATGTTGTTCGACCCCACAAGCCGATCGGGAGAGAAATAAAGTGCCACGGGGAAAATAAATCGGCTCAATTTGTGCATGGAGAGGCACACGAGCAGTAAATATAGCAATTATCCTGATGAGCGGTATCGAAGTCTTTGATTACCCACCCGATACACATGAAGTGCATCTCTGGAGGAAAAAAATCTAGAGCATCTAAATTATTTGACACATACATCTCGAGCCAATTATTAATTTAAAAGAATTTTAAAATTATAATTCAATTGCATAATTTAAAGTGATAAAATTTTTAATATATGTTTTATTTGGGCAGTAATTGTGTAATGGAGTGAAGTTTTATCAATAAATGAAGCTTTGCAACTAATTAAACATTCTAATAAGGCATATAAATTGATTTTTTTTTAATATTTAGTATATATAGAAATTTGTTATAAATTAATTAATTATAATCCTAATAAAATTTTTGAATTCTAATAGAAAGTGATGAGATCAAATAATATAAAATCAGTATTGGGAGACAATAAAAAATTAAATGCATATAATCGCTTATACTAACAAAACCTTCCCGGTCTCCAAGTATAGAAGGAAGCTATAAATCGTATTTGAAATCCATGAGAAATAATAAAATATTTAACCGACTTCATCTAAAATTAATCTCTCTGATCAAATCCAGGATCTCTGATCCCAAAGAACAGAACCCATCCAGATGAATTATGCCCGTCAAAAAGCAACACAAGCTCTGCCCGATAAAATATACGCTGCCGCCGTGTTTCTTTGCCTTCTCTCTGCGGTTCTCCTCGGCTGGAAATTTATCGCGACGCTTATTAATTTATTAATAATCAAATTTGAATTATTTAAGCCGCGTCTAATTTTGAGTTATTGCGCCGAGCATTCCATTCTGATAGTGACAAAATGAGTTTTGTGAGTTGGTTTCGTTGCGGAGGCCTTATATTATTTTTTTAATTCCTCCGCTGCTGCCAATATAAGTAATGCGTGGTGAATAATTCTCTCGGCGCGGTGCGCAGAGCACCCACCTCGCAGCGTGAAAAATAGCCGCGCACACGATAAAGAATAAAGAAAGGAAGCCAAAAGCTTACAAATCATCGGTGTAGTCACGATTTATGAGGTTTCAAGTTCCATACTCTCGCGTACAAGACGCCATACGTTATCCATAGAACGCGGCAATATATCTCTGATCACCGTTGGGAGACTTTGAGGGGGGTCCGTGGCCTCTCGGGCATCCTTATTTACGAGGTGATTTTCTCATTAACCGGCCAATATAGTTGCAAATTAAGGCCACTGAGATACAGGTGTCCGCCTGCTGGGCACTCCTGTTGATTTTCAGAATGCTCAGAAATACATAAAAATTACAGCACTATTATATTTTACAACTGATCCAATTAATAGTATAGAAGAAAATCAGAAAATTTATTTATAAAAAATGTTAAAATAAATAGAGCTTAAAATGTGAAAAATTTGTTCCTTCTATTGATTTTTATTTATAAAATTACTATGAAATTTTAAGAAATTATTCCTAGCAGAATAGTCGGATACAAAATTTTTATTCTTAATATTTTTGAGATGCAGAAAAATGTTTATATAATAAAAAACAAATCTTTTTAAAATTGTAATTACTGAAAAATAGGTTGTTTTCATTTAGGTAATATAAAAATTGCAGATAAAAAAAGAAGCTACTTGCACAAATGAGACTTGGTAACTTTCACTATCAAAACCACTGAAAGTGAGAATAAAGAAAATGCAAGTAGTCGGAGCGTGTCTTCTTCTTCACTGGGCTCGGTTGCTTGGGCACGGCGTGGCCGGATTTTGCAGAGAGAGCATACTTTAGTACTTAATACATACAATGCACGCGGGAGGAAAAACTCTCGCGTAATTCTCTTTCTGCACTTCTTCTCCTTCCCAGATATAAATATATGAAAGTGGAGGCTAAGTAAGGTCGCGGCACTGCACATTTACTTATACTCGCGCATATAAACTCATGTTATAATAATAATAATAATCGTTTTCCCCACCCACGAAGCTTTAAATGTTTGTTCACGCCAAAGACATGATCTACAACCTTCCAGTTCCTTCGCACATTATTTTATTCTGCATGTTCTTTTCGTTTAAAAGTTCCTCGAGGAGAAAAAAGACGACGACCAGCGCCTCTCTCTATAAAAGGAAAAAGTAGCCGTGTGTGTGTATGTATTTTATAAATACAAATATTCGTGCGAACAAATAATGCTGTGGCGGCGCCAGCAAAAATAAATGCTCGTAAATTATCCGCGCCGTCGCCGTCGCGGCTTTACCAGGAAAGGAGAAAAATTTGTCAAAATCTGCATGCAAGGGACCGGATGATAAATCGTATTTGGTTAGGAGATAAATTTATTTTCATTAGATAGTAATTAATTAAACGGGGGTTCTTTTTACTCTTCTTTCTTTCTTGCAGTGCCAGCAGCGGTCGGATGTGCAAATACACCTGATGTATTTCTTCTTGCCCGCAGTCGGACCAAAATGTCACTCCAAGATTAATTTTCTTTCAGCGCCGCCGCGGTAATATATGATGGCGAAACCTTTCTGCTCTCTCAGTGTTTGCGAGCCTTGTTGTTAAATTACACTCTCCGCTGTGGGCCTCATTGTGATACACATTTTTATACCTTTTTCTTTTGGTGAAACACGTTCGAAAATATACGACGATCCGGGCGAGTTTTTATATGCCGCGCCGATGACAATAAATCTTTGTTTTTTGAATAAATTTTTGTGAGAGGTACAATAACAAAGTGCACGGCGGATAGATGTAATCAATTTATTCCAGCCGCAGACGTGCTCACAAAAAGAGAATGGGCGAGAAGAAAGAGAAGAATAAAAGGACGGAAGGGAAGGTCTGAAAAGCGGTGCACTACTTGGGATTTAGTGGCGTTACCAGGTTTAAAATTATTTATCATGTGTTTTGTTGTTCATGGCCGAGACCTTGATGATAATTTCTAAATATGGCAATACCAACTCTTGATAATTTATTGATTGGGGTATCTTCATTTGATTAATTTTTGTATATTTATCCATGAGTACTAACATTGTAGCAAAGACGATCCACCAATAATAAGCTTTGGTTCAAGGGATTGATATTAATAATTGTTTGACTCTGTACACTTATAAATATTTTTTTTTGCTGTAACAATTTTTTTCTGAACTCAGTAAAAAATTAACAAAATATAAGCAATAAATTAAAATTAATGTGCATAATTAATGCTTAAAATAAAACAATAATGCATTATATAAAGTAGTTAAAACATGAAAAATTAAACAACATTAAAAATAATATTTTGTTGTAAATTATTAATTTAATTTGACCATTTTATTAATTTTTTTTTTTTTTTAAAGGGTTTCCAGTGAGTAATAATTCATTGGCACAGTAGAGTGTAAAGCCGGCGTGTACGGCTCGATGCGAGAATGATGCCAAAATCCTCACCTGTTTGCCGAGAGAGAGAAGGGCCGAAAATAAATATAGAAAGGGCATTAAAAATTGCGCCATACTTTACATTATGCAGGGCATTGCGATGGGTCGTGCTGCGTATGATTAAAAGCAGCCAGCCGAATAAATCACGGCTGCCAAAAAACAGCAGCAGCGCAGAAAAAGATGCGCGCACAAAGGGGTCCATTTTAATAAATCAAAATGTTCAAAGGCCCGTTAAATAGGTACGAATTTGCTGCCGCGAGTTGAAGCTTTTTCTTCGCGCCCTATTCCAATAATATCTAGAGACAACTGACTGACTGACCGACCTGCTTCTTTTGCCGTAGCTTTTGGTAAAAAAATCTTCTTCTAGGAGTAGCAGTTCAAAAGTCTGCTCGACGGCGACAGAGGTTAACAGATGGGAGGTGCGCGGCCATAACTCACGGCCGCCGCTGCTGGTAAGTGAGAAACGCCGAATGAAATTTTTGAAAACAACTCGGCTTTTCAGCATTCTTGCCGTTAAATTAAAACATATTTCATCGCACCGCCTGCACGCCGAAAAAGATTAATCTGCCGCTTCAAAGTAGAGACTGCGCGCACTTAAGCAAAAAGAGGAGGCAAGCGAAGCTTTTTGCTCAACATCAAATTTG